ATACATATAAGGTAAGTGTGAAACCTTTTAAGGAAAACTGTACGAGCTTGGCCCAAAGCGGACAATACATATAAGGTAAGTGTGAAACCTTTTAAGGAAAACTATACGAGCTTGGCCCAAAGCGAACAATATCATACCATGTTGAGAGTATTTTCGGGCTAGTCGAGCCCAACATCTAATATCAGAGCCCAGGTTTGGCGGGACGGGTATGACGATGGCAAAGTGATGGCGTGGGGCTCGTTTATCCAATCACATCATGTTAAGAGTATCCTAAGCAGTTTTAGCCCAATAAATCAGAATATTAACAGTATCAACTTTTGACACAATCTGATCAAAATACCAATTTGATCAAAATACCCGTAACAAGTGATGGTGTGGGGCTCGTTTATCCAAAGCGGACAGTATCACACCATGTTAAGAGTATCTTAGGCCGTTTTAGCCCAACAAATCAGAATATTAGCAGTATCAGTTTTTGACACAATTTGATCAAAATACCTGTAACAAATGCTTTTTGTAGCTGTCCACTCAGTCCAGTTTTCCAAGGACCAATTGTTCTAGCTGCTCTGCTTCGGCAGATTAAGAACACAGATACGGCAATAATGAGCAGAAATACTCCACCTAAAATCCCAACTACATATTTCCAAGGGCTTTCAGATTTTTTGGCAGGTGGAGTTTCACCATTAGTTGGCTGTTTAAAAGCACTCATAGGCTGCCCCTCGGGATTTAATCTGTCTTGAGACTCATGCTGTGGAGGTGAGAAAGGTAAGTTTGTAGGAATTATTCCATCGGTATTTGGCACAGCGCGAAATGAACCACTACTTCTACTACTCGGCATTTGAATAACAGGACCCAATGGTCCTTTAATATTAGCAGGAGCAGCAGCAAGATTACTGGATTGTTCGGCTAACTTACGTCGTGCAATCTCCTCTTTATGGTCATCCAAAAAGCCCTTTCCAGGGGATGACCTATTGAAAAAAAATGCTTCTCAATGACAAAACTTAATGACGAACACGTTATGTTAACAGATGTTTAATTACTTACAATTGGAAGAAACTGAGGTAACGGAAAAGTGTTCCCTTTATTGGTTCGATAAAGGAATTTATCATCTTGAATGGTTTCATGCTGCCATGCCAAATGCTGCCGGAAACAGACATCAAATTATCAGAGAAAAGCATGCAAAATACCTTATTTGAGAAATGCAGTAGATCAAGTAGCTGGTGTTTTTCAATATAAAGAGCATTTTCTGAAATTAAACTATTGGCTTATATATATATATATATATTTTAAATGTCCTCAAACAAATTTCATTTATTTTACCACATAAACAACTACAACAACATCCCAGCATATTCCCACATGTGGGGTATGGGGAGGGTAATGTGCACGCACACCTTACCCTTACTTTGTCCAGGTAGAGAGGCTGTTTCCAGAGATCCTCAGCTTAGGCAAGCACAGTTAGAAAATATATTTTACCACATAGATTGACTATAACTATGTAAAAAGGCCACTGACTAAGACAGGATACCAGAAAGCTAAAAAAAGATCGTACCAATGCCGAAATTTTCTTATACAGCGAGTTCCGGAAACAAAACCAGAAGTGAGATTGTCATCGAATTGCAATTCCGAGACTAAATGAAGCTTCCCAATTTCCAAAGGAACACTCTCTTCAAAGTTGTTGTTACGAATCAACCTGGAAAAAAGAATGAGACACAGTTGATGAGCATTTTGATCTCACTTCTGCAGCACGAATGTGCATGCGTATGTACAGATCCGCATGAAAATCATTGACTCACAAGATTCTTAGTGATTGTAAGTCTCCTATTTCTGCTGGAATTGTTCCACTCAAATTATTATCGCTCAAGTCAAGCACTTCGAGCCTATTGAGTCGTCCAAATTCTTTAGGAATAGCGCCAAAGAAATGGTTTCCTGAGAGCACGCTGCGAAAGCAATCAGAGAGCAAGAAGAAATACTGTTAAGATTCAAAAACAACTTATGCAGAAAACAATGTAAATGCAGAATACAAGATGATAAAAGATGATTGCTCAATCCAAAACTAATCTGTCCTCTGTCCCTACCTCCCGATTAACTTGACCTACAAAACTTTTTGTTCTTCACAGTTTACCTGAACACTTCTCTGAAAACAATAAATTCCAACTCCATGAACTTAAACTAAGCTGAAAAATCTCTTAATAAAAGATCAATGAACAGTTCTGCATACCAATATTATTAGCTTCAACCATTTCCTTCATTAGGCACACAGTTATCGATCACGAGATATTTATTCAGAATAGTACCAAGTATGCAGTTGACGATTCTGCAGTTATGTTCCTTTTTATCCAAGTTGTCGATCAAAGATTATACAACCTTTTACAGATGGTTCAGGTAAATAACACAAAGTAACATTAATGAGCAAGAACGTCAAAGGAAAGTATATTACTATAGCAAAAGCTTACAGCGATCTCAAGTGAGTAAGATTTCCAAGCTCCGATGCCAGTGTTCCTTCCAAAGAACATCCATGGAGATTTCTGAACCAAGCGAAAAAGAAAGAGCGACTAATTTAACGACATAAAAAGATCACTATAGTCTAAACAAATGATTTCAGTGTGTTGCACTTGGTTTATCATTATCAGTTCAACAGACTGGTTATAGAATCAAATCAGTGAGCACTAACCAATAGAGAAAGGTTATTGTCAAAACAATCTAAACTAGAAAAGTCGAGTATGCATAACATAACAAGAGACTTACAGCGTTTGCATTTTACCGTCCAGACACTCAACACCAGACCACATGCACGGGTCGCAGTCATCAGCATTCCAGTTTTCAAGAACTCCATTAGGATCAGATTCCACTTTTAATTTGAATTCCAACAATGCCAATCCTGTTTCTCAAATCAACAGTAATCAGTAAAACAAAGAGTAAGCCAAAACTTGAATTAACAAAGAGAAACTAGAGGATACCCCACGGATCGCAAAGACAAAAACCATTGGCCTAAGTGAGTAAAAAGCATGAAAGATCAGGGTTCAAATTCCAACAATTATGTGACACGCTCTCCATTTTAGTATGTTCGGAAAAGAATAACATCTTTCTGTATTTAGAAATAATTTGACTTTAAAATTCCGATTATACCATTGATGATTTGATTTATATTCATAGAAATGTCTATAGCTTGTTTCAGATCACAAGTTTCGAAATTCTTTCTTTCTTTCTTCATGTCCAACAAAACATGGCCACATAAAATGGGACAAAGGGAGTACGTGATTTTGTCTCATATGCCTAAGCCTTGACAGGCATAGTAATGATACCTATGCTGATTGGAGATGCACAATAAATCCAATGGAACAGTCGAAGTGCAGATAAGCTGGTCTGAACACCAACAACAACAACAACAACAATAATATATCCAGTGTAGTCCCACAAGTGAGGTCTGGGGTGGGTAAAGTGTACGCAGACCTTCCCCTGCCTTTAAGAAGGCAGAGAACCTATTTTCGGTAGACCCTCGGCTCAGGAAGGATAAAGGGAAGGCGCAATAGCAAGCAAGCCAATCTGACAACCGAAAGGTCTGAACACCACCATCATCAAAAAATAAAAAGAAAGAAACTAGAGAATATCCAATGACAAACACAAAGATAATAGTAAACTACCTTCTGAATTGAGAGAGCAACATCCATGAACCTCCAAAAGAAGAATCAAAATGGAGAAATAAGACAACAACTTGATTCCATAAATGTTCCATCTACCCCTCATTGCTTGCAAAACCATATGTTAAGGCAGTAATAATTTCTGCCAAAAGCCAGGACTCTATACAAAATCTCACACAAAATCGCCAGCTTTTTCGTATGAATTGACTCTCTCCCGAGCAATGACAAATCACTCGGACACAGAATCACACATTTGCTTATCTGCACAACTCTATACTAGACACAAAAAACAAAAAGAATTACAAACAATAGCAAAAAATATTAGCCCTTTTTCATATAATTAACCATAATGGGGTCTCTATTTTTCATATTTAGGCTATAATACCTCTGTTTTCACCATTATTTATAAACCCCGAGTCGTCAAAATTTCCAAGATTCAATCTTTAACTGAAAATGCAGACACAGAAATAAGAAAAATTAGCAAGAATTAATTTTTTTAAATAAAAGAAAGAATCAAAAGCAAAAAGGTGATCAGAGAATAACCATATTCGCAAGCAATTAACAGAAATTAAAAGATTCTTTAAAATAATGGAAAAAACAAAAACAAAAACCAAAAGGGAGAGAAGGGTAAAGATTAAATATTACCAGAAAATGAAGTTCTTGATATTTTCAAACAAATTAAGCAAATGCAGAATGTGGGAATTATGGAATTTAGAATTAGAATCCAAAGAAAACTATGTTGGTAATAAAGATTCTAGCTTTAATCTTTTTAATTTTTTTCTTTTTTTGTATATTGAGTGCTCTTTTCAGGATGATCTTAGAAGAGGAACCTCTCTTCGACCATCCCTGAGAAAGAGGATTGAGGAAAAAAGAGGAAAAAAGCTTTCTCTCTCTTCTTTTCTCTCTCTAAGAGAAGTTTTTCTGTTTGTTTCAGTTTTTTTAGGTAACATCACAACCACCATTTTTCCCTGACTCGTTTGGGGCGCGCTTTTACGTACGTGCCTGCCTCTTTAAGCCATTAAAATCTTCTTGAAAGAATGTTGTTGTCAGCACATAGTGTATATGATAATCATATATTATATCGTCTTTTTCACTACGCATTTTTTCTCTATTCTGTTGTGATTATGCAATCTTACTTTGAGCCCAAAGTCTATTGAAAATAGTCTCTCTACCTGCACAAGGTAGGGATAAGACCGCGCACACACTACCCTCCCAAACTCCACGTATGAATTATACTAAGTATTTATTGTTGTTGTTGCAGACTGCCAGTGATAAGCCGGAGGAAGATGAGGATGACATCAAGTCATCATGCCCCTTATGCCCAGGGCGACACACGTGCTACAATGGCCGGGACAAAGGTCGTGATCCCGTGAGGATGAGCTAACACCAAAAACTTGTCCTCAGTTTGGATTGCAAGTTGCAACTCGCCTGCATGAAGCCAGAATCGCCGATCAGCCATACGACGATGAATTCATTCCCGGGCCTTGTACACACCGCCCGTCACACTATGGGAGCTGGTCATGCCCGAAGTCATTACCTTAACCGCAAGGAGAGGGATGCCGAAGGCAGGGCAAGTGACTGGAGTGAAATCGTAACAAAGTAGTTGTACTGGAAGGTGCAATTGGTTGTTGTTGTTGTTGTCGTCTTTAGCTCACCGAGGACATGATCCTAGATAGGAGAGCATAAAAGTCAAAGATTATACTAGAAGGTTAGTAATAAGTTGAATGATTAGGATAGAAGATTAGTAGGTAGTCGAGAGATTCCTCTCCTTTATGGGGGGAGCGTGGGTCTAGTTTAGAGCACTTTAGATGCTCCCTCTTTTCCTTGCCAGTATTATTGTTATTATGCTAGCTTTATCATATTATAGATATTTCTTTTACTTTGGTTAGCTTTACTATTTTTTGCTATCATTACTTTTCTGTTCTACGGTATTTTCATTATAACTTTTTACTCTTGTATTTTTAAACTTGTCTTGAAAAATATTTTTCTTGAATCTATCGGAAACAATCTCTCTACCACATAAAGTTAGGGGTAAGTTCTACGTATACCCCAACCTCCTTAGATCCCATTTGTAGGGTTACACATGTATGTTTTTATTGTATATATTATATTCGTCCCAAATTATGTGGCACTCTTTTATTGTTAGTCAGTCATTTTTAGAATTCCTACTTTACCCTTAATTAATTGATTTATAACCATATAAAAATGTATGATTTATTTTAGACCACAAATTTTAAAAGTTTTCTTTCTTTCTTATAAAACTCTGTGTCAAATCAAACACAACCACATAAAATGGGACGGAGGGAGTAATATAACTTATTTGCACGTGTTATTTATGTCAAACCTTAACAAACAATGATTAAGTGATCTAACAAGATGAAAATAAGGCAAAATATAAAATTATCGGTCGGCCAAAATTAGTTATATTTTCTAGCCAAAAAATGTATAAAATATAAATATTATATGTATATGTATACACATATATACAAAATCTATACATTTTATTGACTATTATTTTTGAAAGCGATTAAAAATATGTGTTTCTCGTAAAAATACATGTTAATTAACCATGGTTAAGTGAAAAAAATATATGCCATGCATCTATTGGTTTTGCGAGTTCACTTGTCAAGTAATAAGGAATCCTATCAAAATAGCACGGGCTAGCCAGTTTTCGGACTAGTAATTGAAAAATAGTCAGCGTTTGTAAAATTGTTAAAAAATAGCTACTATTTTGCTGCAATACGGAAAGTTCCAGCATAATATACTGGAGATTGAAGCACATGTATATGAACTACCAGCATATTATGTTGGAACTTCAGCATACGAAAAGTTCCAGCATAATATACTGGAGATTGGAGCACCTATGTATGAACTTCCAGCATATT